ATGTATGTATGTATGTATGTATGTATGTATGTATGTATGTATGTATGTATGTATGTATGTATGTATGTATGTATGTATGTATGTATGTATGTATACACACACAGGGGCAGGTTCATTTAGGAATGCTAAATATTTTAGGAACTTGGGAACATGAGAACCACCTTTTTCTTAAGTATTCATGATGAATATGATTAATCATGAACATTTTATCACATTATTTATCATGAAATACTTAGAAAGAGGTGGTTCCTAGGTTCCTAAAATATTTAGCAATCCTAAATGAACCCCCCCCCCCTCTCTCTCTATATATATACATATACATACATAAACATAAACATAAACCAAAAACGATGTTCTTCATCCCTTACAATGGAGATTTGGGTTCATCACAGACACCGTTCAAAGATCTAGGCTTTCTTCACGTGTTCTTCATTTGTTCAATTCGATTAGATGTTCTGGTTTCTCTCCTTGCCTAGATCCAGAGCTTCTTTGTTTAACAGATCGGTTTGTTTTAGTTTTAGATTTTAGGATTTGTTCTGGGTTTTAGGTTTTTGATTTTAGGGTTTGAGTTAGAATTTGTATCACAATTTTTTTTAATGAATTTGTATCTTTTCTTTTTATGTTCGTATGTTTTCTATCGTATTGGCGTTCTTGATTTGAGTCTTTTTATTGCATGTACATTGCGGTGGTTTTGTTGGCATATCAATATTCGGCTTCAATGTTACCAACCAAATAATCGATGATGAACAAATCAAAGGGTGCAAACAAGGTTTGTTCGAATTTGGCACGAAATCAGTTCTGGTTTTTCCAATCTCATGAATGGGAGATTGGAAGAGTTTTTTTGTGCAAATGTTCATATATGGGTTTGGGATGGTGAAAGTTGGTCAATATACAAAATCATGGTTTTCAAGAGGAATGATGTCATTGAAGATTAGTTTAGCATCTATGCTAACTACTATGGCAATTTGCTTGGTCGCCTCTTTGGTTTTCTTAAAGTTGAGTTCTATTTTGAAGAAGTACCAAAGATGAAGGTGCATGTAAATTGGTGGATCACTGGGAGGAATAAAAGAATTATGGTAAAGAGATAGGGTGTACGGGGGAGATGTCCAGGCAAATAGGTCATCGGAGGGGGTGTGTGTTACAGTGAGAGCATTAAGAAAGAGGTGTAAAAGGGAGGGCATGGGTGTGTTGTATGTGTTTTAAAAAAATCCCAGTCGTATGTGTGCATTTACGAGACCCTACTATTCCGAGGTCACAAATCAAGAAAATCAAGCAATTACATTGGGTTTGATTTCTTTTTGAGGTTTAGACCCGGGTTTGATTTTGATTTGGTTTTTATTTTGAGGTTTGGGTTTAGATTTGGGTGTGGGTTTAGGTTTGGATATGATTTTGATTTTAATTTTGAGGTTTGGATGTGTGTTTCATTTTTAGTTTTTGGTGTGTGTGTTATGGTTACTTGTAAGTGTAAGTCGATGGGGGGTGGGATAAGATGACGTGTCTTGTTTTGGTTGGTTGTAGGAAATGGCAGGGGACCAAATTACACGTCACTTAACGAATGGGAATTAACAGTCGTTAGTAGTATTGATCAAAACGTTACAAAATTACGAACTCTAAGGACCATTTGGAATAATAGAACTCTAAGTACCTAATTTAAGACAAACTTAAAATCACATTGAACAAATCCACATTTCATTCTAAAATCAATATATCATTTTGCCTTTACTCTAATATAAAGCACTTGGCTAAAAGAATTTAAAAGCAATTTATTCAACATTCATTACCATTTATTAACATATAATTCTTTAACTTTCAACTTTACAAGTTTAAACTATAAAATCAACTAATAATCAATTGTTAACACCTACAATACAAGATCATTTTAATTTAATTATTAATTAAATATAGATTACCCTCGTATTTTCTAATTTAAGATACAGTATAACAAAATTGAGTTTATAGGACACCCCAAATCTCTAAGTATTCCAATAGACCACTTTTTAGGACTTAATTTATAGGACCAAAATATAAAATGTCCTATCTAAAGATGTTGTAATAAGTTTATATGACGTTTTTTGGCATCTTAACAAGTTTTTAGGACATTTTTAATACAAAGTGTCGAATTAGCAACTTTATATGACACTTTTGAGAAAGTGTCCTATAAACTTATTTTTTTATAGGACACTTGTTTTTATAGGACATTTTTTCAAATAGTGTCCTATAAAGTTGCTAATGGGACACTTTATATTAAAAATGTCCTAAAAACTTATTACGACGTCAAAAAACGTAATATAAACTTATTACAACGCCTTTAGATAGGACACTTTATTTTTTTGGTCCTATAAAGAGGTCTATTAGAACGCTTAAAAATTGGGAGTGTCTTATAAACCCAATTTTGTTGTAGTGATATCTTTAATATAACTAATAGTTTAGTTAAACAAGTTATATAAAAATAAGCATTTCATTGTGTTTAAGTTGATATCCAAATCAATATAATTTTTCAATTTACAAGATTTAACTTGTTATCATAATGTGTATTTTTATCGATAAATATATTTAAAATCCAATAAAAGTATTTATATATTATAGACTATGAGAGACAATTAAATTTCACAAGGTCAAAATGATTAAGAGACTCTCATGATATAGTGCAAAATGAAATATAATTGTTTGGTAATTGTTTACAATGAAATTAGAGCACTGAATGATTAAGGGAGGTCCATGATACAAAATCATTCAAATGGTTTTAAAACCATTAAGAGGCAGACTTTTTTTGCCAAACAAGATTCACCTCTTAATGATTCTTATACAATGAAAAAAATGCACAACTATTTAATATTTACAAATAATTATACCCAATAGAGACAAGGCAGAAATACCAATATAAGTTGCAATAACTCAAAGAGACAAGTTTTACATGTGTAAAAGGTTGGTTCAATTAAGCTTCTTTCATATCAAATCTATTCATAGACAAGAGAGTGTACTTATTAAAAACAGAAAAATTACATATAATTTAAACTATTTATTATTTTAAATGTTTGAAACTAAGTTGCAGAGGTTTTTCCTTTTGCAAAGTCACCCCAAATTTTTCATTCATGTCAATCTTCAAAGGGTCCTCATCATTTGGAAGAATCCAATCAAATCGTAGAATCAAATATGTTAACACAGATTGAACACCGTTGATACCCATGAACAAACCTGGACACATTCTCCTCCCTGCACCAAATGGTAGGAACTCAAAATCTTGGCCTTTAAAATCTAATTTTGAGTTAAGAAATCTTTCAGGTTTAAATGAGAGAGGATCTTCCCAATATTTTGGATTTCGACCAATTGCCCATATGTTGACCAATACTTGGGAACCACGAGGGATTGTATAATTCATAACCTCGCAAGTTTGAATAGCACGGTGAGGAAGCAGGAAAGGTGTGGGAGGGTGCAATCTTAGGGTTTCTTTAACGCAAGCGTTTAGATAAGACAACTTAGAAAGTTCACATTCAAAAATGGTGTCTGAATGAATTTCGTTTCTTATCTCTTCTTGTAGTTTGAACATAGCCTTCTTGTTCTTTATCAACTCAGCCATGGCCCATTCTATTGTTGACGTTGTAGTATCAGTACTTGCTGTAAATAGCTCCTACAAATAAACAATGTAAAAGTTCAAATTCACATCTAAGGGAAAAAATAGGTTTTTTCTAAATTACGTAACTTCAGCCTACAACTAATTCATATGAATATTCAAATTCAAATCTAGAAAGAAATACAAGATCTTTTAATATTATATGTTCATCTGAATTCAGGAAAACAAAAACAGAGGATTAATGGCTCATTAAAATGGAGAATGTTTCAAAAAGAACTTACCAAAGCGAGTATATTGATCTGGTCGTTTGAGAATCCATTTTCAAGTAACTGATCCAAGAAACACTGTTCCTCCTCTTTTACTACAACCATTAATCTTCTATCATTAATTATATCCTCCCACGAGCTAAATATTTCCTTCATATGCTTCAATTGTTCTTTCTTTATTCCTTGAAGATCCCACCTATCAAGCATAGGGAAAAAATCACTTACATTAGGTGCAAGTCCGTTCGCGAGTATCTTGAAAAGTTTCTCTTTCAATCCACTTGCACTTCCATCTCGATCTCGTAAATCAAGAAAATCTTTGCCAAACAGTATGTTGCTTAAGGTGTTAAACATAGTTGTAAAAACAACTTCCTCAATGTTCACAACTTCATCTTTCTTACTACACAAAAAATCCAACATTTCACCTAATTTTCTCTCTCTCAAGCTAGACTGGGATTCTAAGGCCTTCGTCGAGAACATATGAGTTTTACAAAGAGTTCTTAATGATTTCCAATTTTCATCACAGTCAGCTGACCAAATAAGGGCGAAAGGCAAAAGATAACTTTGAAACGCATTAGGAATAAAACGAGAAGAAAGAAAACGGTCTTGCGTCTTGAGAATTCCAGTGGCTGCTTCTGGAGAGGACGCTACAACAAGAAGTTGGGTTCCTAAGCGAAGGGAGATAAGTGAGCCATGTTTTTCAGCCAAGATGGCAGTGGAGACATGTGGGTTCTTGCCTACTTGGTGTAGATTTCCGATGATCGGCCATGGTCGTGGCCCTGGAGGGAGGCCCTTTTCAGATTTGAGATATGTTCTAATAGTGAATAATACAAAAGAGGACATAAGAAATAAAGAAAATGACATAAGAAAAGTTGTGTGATCCATTTTTGTGTGGATCACTTTGTTCATGAGAGGGGATATTTATAAGGTTCAATATGGAATCTACTTCATATCTTGAAGAACCAATTTTTAAAAATTAATATTTTAGGGTATAAAACAATTTTTTCCATATATTTAGGAGTTCAGATTTTCTATCAGATAAATAGTAGGTCAACTCGATGTACTATATTTTTTTTATCAAAAAGAATTTGCCGAGTATCTATAAGTTCTCAATAACATATATTTATTACTTCACAAATTATATGCATATTTTTTTCGAAATAACTATATTGTGATACTATTTAAATCAAACTAGTATTCACAATTAACATAAGCATTTAAGCAAAATTGACATATATGTCTCGTAAATGATCAATTAACGTGTTCTCATCTTGGAGGATCTAGTTTCGGTTTATTATATTATTAGATTACTGGTCAGTGTTATCTAAAACATTATTTTACAGTTATACGTATGTACATATATTTTAATTCGGTCATTGTTGTGTACATGTTTTTTTTTATTGTTATTATCATTATTAGGTTTATGTAAAATTTGGCATCACACTCGAATGAAAATAAAAATTACATATGTATATGTCATAATTATTGACCAACACAATTATTTTCATATTTAATGTTTTTTTTTTAATTTTAAATGTTATATAAAAATTTAGTTGACATTTACATGGACATCTTATAGGTTGGAGGTTGTTAGGTCAATGAAACTATTGAATATATGAAGGTTTGCTGAATAATAATTTTGAAAATGGATTAAGTTGAAGGCGGGTTTATTTTAGAATAGATTTTCCTTTCTCTCTTTCCATGATTAATTTGTCGTAATTAAGTATTTTAATAATTAATAAATTACGTAAAACTTGTATGAATTACAATTATAAAAAGAGAATGCTAATGATACTCCCATAACATGGGTGTTAAATGCTTTAAAAATTGAATCATTATTAAAATATATATATATATATATATAATATTAAAATCAATTAATTAATATTGTATATTTTATCATTACTATTTTTATTTTATATATTAATATAGAAGGGTACTCACACAATACAGTGAGATATATCTTGATTTTAATGGGTTTTTTTTTTCAATTGATATTAAAATACAGTTTTATGTGGTTTTGACAAAGTGAAAGTATTTTTATTTTTGAATAAAATATATATATATGAAGATATATTATAAAAAATTGAAAAAAGTTATTGATACTAGTACCAAATTAACTATTTAAAATTTCTTCTTTTTTGTGTATTTTTCTAATTCATTTTTTTTATTTTTGGTTTAATAATATAATTTTTTTATAAAGATACTAATTAAGTAGTTTGTTAGAACTCAATAATTATTTTAATTATATTTAGATTTTTTATATTTAAAATAAAATATTTATCATTTATTTGATTATGTTTATCTGCAGTTAGTTATATGAATTCAAACATGAAACTTTAATAAGTTGTACTTAAACACAATTTATTTGTAATATATTATCCCTTACATTTTATTATTTTAAGTTATATTATATAACTATTTTATATATATAATTTTTAAGTGTATATATATATATATATATAATTTGTGCATACATCCACATATATTATATATTGTTATTATATATTCATACTTACCATTATAATAATATATATAAGCATTAATATTATGATTTTATCTTACTTATTATTCATACTTATATATAATTTTATCTTACTTATTTTGATATATTCATCCTTACATATATTCTTTAATAAATAAATTATCGAACTTTTAAAATTTAGTTATTTGCAACATTTAAATTCAAAAAAATGCTACATGTCGTGGTTTGTTTTCCTTCACAGATCAAACTAGTGGAGCTGATTTTTAAGTCATGATTTCCTCAATCTTTAACTTATCCATATAGTTGTTGAATAAATATTTTTTATAATACGTAAGGATCTAATAATAATATTATTATATTAAATTTAATATGTAGTTTGATAATATAAAAAGATTGTTTTTTTTAATAAATAGCTATTAAAAAATTTTAAGAGTTTTAGCCAAATGTTTTATAATATAGTATAGATATATATATATATATATATATATATATATATATATATATATGTGTGTGTGT